GACAAGTGGCAGGTGCGGGGGCGCTGCCCATGCTGGGAGCGGCTGATCTGAGTGGTCTGCAGGAGGCTGTGTCCTGGGAGACGGCAGTTCTGTTGGATGCGCATGGGACTTATGTGGCACGTGGTACACGTGGAGGGGAGTAGGTGGAATTTAGGATGGAGGGGAAGGTTCACACCAGAGACAAGAGGCCTTCGGGGAAGAGGTTGTTCAAACCTCTTCTTGCTCACTCTCCTACTTTCGTTCTTATGTTGAATTAGTTGCATTTCTCCACTACTTCCAAAATCGTGGTTGTGAGACCTCTGGCAAGTTTCTAACCTCTTTCGCCTTTTATTTTCTCAACTGTAAAATGAGGCTAAGAATAGAATCCACCTCAGGGCACCTTTGTTAGGACTGAACTAGGCAGATGTGGGAAGGACTCGTGGGTGCCTGGCATATAGTTTGTTTTCAGTAAATGGTAACTTGTATTTATGTAATGGTTTGCACAGGCTTTTGTAGAGTAGCTTTGGAGCATAGCTATGGTCAGAAAAGTGCCTTAGAAATAAGCAATGCAAACGTGCCTTATTTGTAAGTTGGGTATTTTCTGTGGTTGATTCACTGGTCAGAAATGATCAGAGATACTACCCAGTATGGGTGTCACAGGATGATTTTTTTCAGGTAGAGGAAACTATACAACACTCATCAATAAAACTGTTCCTAAGTACTCATTAGGTCATAGGAGTGTAACCTGGAAGTTGAGTTGGGTTTTACTAATATACACATTTTTCTAGAGAAGAGATACCAGTATAGTAGGAAAAGAATGATAATCTCTAGGGGAGGGGGAGCCCTTATTTCAGCCACTACAGAGGTAGGGGGCACTCAGCTTTATTTAAGACACCTGAAATTGAGCACCTCTTCCCTGGGCTCCCTCTCCAAGAGGCACCCCCCACCATGCTGGCTCTCAGCTGGTTTCCCCTCCCCCGTGTTCCACCTGGGGCAGCCCACAGGCTCACAGCTCCATTTCCCTTCCCTGGTTCCAATGCCCTCCAGCCAGCATTTGCCTTCATTGCCTCCTATGTTTTATTCCCCCGCTGAGCAGCCTGCAGCTCCATTGAGCATCTACCTGGGCTGTCCAGCTTGCTGGCTTAGGTGCTATTTGTTCTGGTTACAAAGTCTCATAAGTTTTGAGTTGTCTGCTTCTCATATGGTGTTCCCCCCATAAGCCCAGGTGTTTTAAGCACAGAATACTGCTGAATGTGAGATTTTTCAAGAATATATGTATCATATTATAATAGAAATGCCTGTATTCAACTCAATGCTATTTAATACCTACAGTGTGCTGGGCACTGTTCTAGAAGCTGGGACTAAAATGGTGAGCAAAATGTAGAACTCGTTCCTGCTCTCATGGAGGGGATAGCTTGTTGGAAGAGACAGGTGGTAATTGACAAATTTGTAAGCATACACTAACATCACAATGAGTGAATGGTACAAAGATTTAAGAGAACAGTAACAGGAATCTGACTCAGCCTGAGCCTCAAGGGTGGCTTTTAGGAGGAGGTGGCATTTGAGCTGAGTCCTGAAAGCTGCATCGTAGGAGTGAAGCAGG